TATATATATACATGTTTACATATAAATGTTATCATCCAAGCTATTTCATTTATGTCTGTGGGTTTTGTAAGCACTAAAACATCAGCAACAACTACTGTAGCACTTCCTGTATAGCTTGGGAAACCTTTCTCCTATCATATTGCCTGAGCAAGAAAATCACAATAGTTACCTAAATTCCATGTGTGCATGCATACAGTGATGAATATTAGAGATGTGATAAATGGCTCTTTAATGGTGCTACGTCATCACGTAGGGAAATACGTCATTACGTTACGTGGGTGGAACCATAGGTTTTGTCAAGCAGAAACCCTCCTCCCTCTTTCCCTGTGAGCTTCTGTATTCCACCGCTCTGCCTGTTTTCCATGAAAAACCAAAGCGGGAGCAATTTAAGGATGAAAACATCAAGATTATATGAGGAATAAAAAAATAAAATTACAAATGGCTCGTTACTACCCGTGACTCGGTTCCTATCATTTGATGTAAAGAGCCATTCAAAAGATTTGGATCGATTGCGAACGTCACATCTCTAAATATTATACCTAGACTGAAGACAGTTTAGATACTTTATGTCATAAAATTACCCATATAATTATTTTTATTGTCCCCTTTAATTAAATTATTGATATGATTTGGACACCATATTTCACATAAGCAAGGGTGTCAAACTCATTTTCACCAAAGGCCACATAAGCATTAGTGGCCCTCAAATGAGCAGTTGTAATAAACTTCAACTTTTCATGTTTAATTTTGAATAAACACAAAATTGGTCGTCATCTTCAAAGTCTATAATGCTAGTTTTAGTGTATATATAAGTAGTATTATTTAAATGACAGCAATAAAAATAGCTTTTAGAAAAGATCGATGGCAAAAATTGCAATATTATACATTTATCTGTAAACCCAGTAGTGCAATAAAAGAAGACCATTTACTGAAATATTCGTCATCTGCTCTAATTATCATATTACTGTTTATTTAGAAAAAAATGGTGACACACACTAGTAAATATGGTTAACCCTACGTGGTTCTGCTGTTAGGTGGGGAGTCACATTTATAATCCAGCCTACCTCATTTAATGGTTACATAACTTTAAATTAAACATACTGATACAAGCAGACAGAAATGAGCAACATGATTAATAGCTTCGATGTACCCCACGTTCAGTTTTTTATGTGATCTGTGGCTCAAAGGACTTTTAAAATTAAAGTGTTCTTTGTATCAGTTTGAAGGAGGTTCATGATGATCAAAGGTGCTCCAGTCATTTCTCATGTGGTTAGAACAGTTAATGAACCCTTATTTCAACAAATGCATGTTCTCATGACATAAATGGAGGAGATGCTTTTTCAGGTAAATGTCTGTAGTCTAAACACATCTCAGTCCACTATTAGACAAGTTTAAACACATCAGTTTATTTCAGATATATTTTTGTAAGAAAATGAGTAACTGAAACTGGAAAGGAAGTTTATCTTTCAAACCAGCAAATATGTTTTTTCAATCACATTGAAATCACAATTTCAGTTTTAAGTTTTAGCCAGTTACAAAATGCCAACATTAAAAACAATATTTTTATTTAGTGTGACTAATGTTATTACCAGTGAGGCAACAATTAGATTTGTTTCCTTAAGGTCCTGTCACACTAGACAACTTATGCCAATTTATGAAATATTTTATGTCTAAATTTCTAACAAAAGTTTTATATTTGATCAATTTGTTCGGTTTACATTATTGCCATGCTGAAAAGAAGCTTCCTGTTGATTTTTTAAAATTCCATCTTGTGTAGATGTCTTTAAAATGTTCATAAGTTGGCATAAGTTCTCTAGTGTGACGGTTTTAACACTAAAAAGGTTGCCGGGTCACTTTCCAGCCTTTCTGTAAGGAGTTGTTGAACTCTAGGGGTGTAAATCACCAGCTTTATCACAATATGATATTACATAAATATGTTTGGATGACGATTCGAGATTTCTTGATATCACAAAGTCTGTCATGATATGATTTTGATTCAATTCAATTCACAATCTGCAATCGATATAATGCAATATCATATGCACAACTAACACAGTCATTATGCTAGATGGGCATATGATAACTATATCGATTCACATCGAGCATATGATGACGATATAAACAGGGTTGCACATAAAATTTTTGGTCTGGTTCTCAGGGGAGAACCTAGGGTTGTTGCTTGGTGCTCACTCATATTTTCCTTCACTCATTTAACATACATATTTATCTATAGGGGAGTCAGGGCATCTAACATCCCCCTGTTCTGTTTTATGACTCCTATCAGCTGCAACGTCTCAGGACATCATGACAAATCAGTCCAAGATTTTTATTTTATTCTTTTACTCTGCATACATTTTGTAAACTACCTAAGAGGCCGAGGGGCTGGGTGTATGTCATATAAACATCACAAACTGGACACTTCATGGTTAAATGTCTTTTAGACTACGGTACACATGTCCTTCAGATGGACAACTCCTGTAGTTTGGTCTTCTGCATCTTCAGCCTTGGTTAAACCAGCTGTCCACACGCTCCAGACCAAGCAGCAAATATCTGTCTTTTGCACAGAGCAAAATAACTTAAAACATACAAATGTTTTATTTCTTAGACTGATTTCTTTTTTAAAAGACTATTTTATTCAAAAATATTATATTATTTAGATGGTTTCAGCTCATGTAATTATTTATTCTTCGAATTTGATCGTTTAATAAATTACAGTTATCCCAGAAAAGATGTATCACAGCATGGTCCTAAATATAAACAAGTTTAGCACATCAAGAACCTTGTTTTTTATATAAAATTGTGAATGAAATTTGTGGATCTTTATGATAAATTAAAATAAAATTTAAAACTCATTCACCTAGAGAACAAGTTGTTTTTATTTTTTTAATATATATAATTTTTTGACTGGTGTGTTAAACAGAGAATCATCTTTGCTTTAATATGGGGCAAAATGTTCTGTTAGAGTTAATGTGGTTTAATTAGAAAAACTCAGTGAATCTCACAGAGAGCCTGCGTGAGCAGCAACGCACTCATACAGCAGTCTCTCAGGAGGAGAGTTTAGTCACTCGCACAGAGTTGGACAGATCTGTTCAATAACAACATTCTGAACATATATTTAATATAGCTAAGGTTAGGTTTTACAGACCAAAGTCTCTGGTAGTTCAGGAGCAAAGTGCAGGAGGAGAGGAGAAGCCAGGACCGATCGCTGCAGCCAGCAACTCCAGTCGAGCCTACCCGCTGCTTCAACCAAACACGCTCTCGCTGAAAGTCCCGCCCTGCTCTGCTCTGATTGGACAAAACAGCTCTGAACGTCGTCTGATTTGTTGAAAGCAGTGTCTGTTTAATCCTTATATCAGGGTCCCGCTCTGGCGCACGGAACAACGATCCATACACACCAGTGCGGCTGGATTCTTTTTCATTTTTAATTTTTTTTAAAGAAATCAGGTCACTCACATTTGCGACCAAACTGGTCGCACTCTAGAGCCCTGCTAGCTGTTGTTTTTACAGACAATCAGGTAAAATCTTAGGTATGCAAGGGAGCTTTAGCAGTAGAAATAAGGAATAACTCAGCAAACCAACCCTAACTATAGGATTTATTAAAAAAAGGAAAGTCTTGGGTCCAATTTTAAAAGTAGACAGTGTCAGCCTCACAAACAGAAACTGGAAGATGCTTCCACAAGACAGCAGCCCAAAAACCTGAACGTTCTGTTTTTAGAAACTCTAGGAGCCACAAGTAAACCTGCAGTCTGAAAGTGAAGATATGCTCATCTTGGTAAAAATACTAACCAATCTTTAGATTGATATGACCACACTTAGCACCATGTTTAAAACATATATAACAAAACGGGTAAAATTATGTTTATTATGCCAAGTTTTTTTGAATGTTGTGATTTTTCCCCCCAATTTTTGTATTTGTAAGAAATGCTGGAAAGATGCGTGAAATGGTGGCTGCACAATGGTGTGGCGGTTAGCAGACAATCCAGCAGATATGAGCAGGCGTCAGAAAACATGGAAAATCCAGTTCTAAAAACTGGTAAAGGTTGAATTGTTTCCATAGATCACC